CCCCAAAACCCCAAAACCCCAAAACCCCGAAGCGAATTATATTGAAAAAGCAATGATAATTTTAATGAAAATTATATTAATTGGACATTTTACTTTGGTTTAATATTATTATGCTTATGTTTGCTTTCACTTAGTATGAGTATCTATTACTCTGTTGATTTTATTAACCCAGACACTAGCATCTTCACCTACTATTCTAAAAATGATATACTTGCCACTCTTTTTACAAATTATCTCAAACCTATCAGGTGCTCTATAATTTGCTCGAAGTTAATTGCTGATTAATATATCTGCTTTGTATTCTCCAGTCTCTGATTTATAATACAGCCTGGGTTGATTAGTTAAGATGAGAGTTCTTTTCAAATTGCTAATTACCCCCTTTTTCTTAAAAACTATACCTTTCTTTATAAGCATGCTTTCAGATTCCTACTTCAATATAGCATCAACATCTCTAGGATCTAGCATTTCAAAGTCTCTAAATTTCTTTGGATATCCCTAATTCAGATTGTCTTTTCCTTATAAGTCACTAACCAGACCATCAATTCCATTATCTTCATTACCTTAAGGAAGTTGATCACTTTTTTTTATTTGCTACTTTTAAGCGTTGAGGAATGCTGATTAAAATCTCTCAGCTGGTACAGGAGGACTGACATTTGAAAGCTTAACAAAATTTACTCCTCTAAAGAATGGATGAAGCTTCAAGGCATGATAATCATTTAAAGAGCCCTCATAGCCTGCTCCAAGTCTTTGATAAGGATCTAGCTGCATCAACTTGTCTATTAAGTCTACGGCATCTAGAGAAAGATACTTAGGAAATACTAACTTCCTCTCTGAGATCATTTGGAATACTTAGAAATCGTAATTTGCCTTAAATGGCACATCACCTGTTAGTAATTAATACACTATGCAACCTAAAGCCCACAGATCTGTAAATGGACCACTAGTATTAGAGTCTAGCATTTCTGGAGCCACATACAAAGGAGTGCCTACAAAGGTTCCTCTTACGTTCTTTGGCTCATCATTTTCAAAGTCAACACTAACTTATTTCTTCAACTGCTATTCCTAAACCTTTGCAAGTTCTTCTGGGTCGAATCTTTTTGAATCGCCAAAGTCAGTCTACAAGTTATTCATATGGTATTAAGGTTATTACAATTTTTAAATGATACTTGCCATCAATCATGATGTTTTCAGGCTTCAGATCTCTATGAGCTATACCCTTTGAATGTAAAAACTCCAAAGCAGATACTAGCTCAGCAGCATAAAATCTCACTAATTCAATAGGTAGTGGTTCTAAAATGATTCAATAAGCAAAAGATAATAAAGTTACTTATAGCTTTCAGAAGTTCACTTAGACTTTTATTCTCAACATATTCCATAAGGAAATAGAGATTGTCTTCATCTTAAAAAGTACACTCGAGATGCACTATATTAGGATGCTTGGCATTCATAAGTATATCCCTCTCTCTGTGAACACTGTTTACCTTATCATGTTTCATTATATGAACCTTATCTAAGCATTTCATAGCATATTACTTTAAGGTGTTTTTCTTGCGTACAAGATAGACCTTACCATAAGAGCCATCTCCTAGTTTACAAATGGTTTCGAATGAATCCTTAGTCAATTTTTCATTGGACATATTGTTGGATGCTTAATTTTGATTATTATTACTATTATTATTAGAGGAGTTATTGCCATTTGAGAGTGTTGTTTGGTTATTTTTTTATTGCTGCTCAGTTGAATTGGCATTTGCACTATTCCTTTGCTAGTTCTACATATTGTCTTCTTTATCTAACGTCTCCCTTGTTGGCTATGTGGTTGATGAGCCTTGAGTTTATTGAGATTTTCTCTTTTTCTGTTCATCTTCCTCATCTGAATTCTATAAATTAATCATTTATAAAGTTTAATGTCATCTTACTGAGGTGTTCCTGGATTTTTATCTAAGCAAATTTTAATCCTATCTGCCTAATGTATTAGATTCTTGGTCTGTAGGACGTTTAGTTTTAAAAGAGGGTTATTAATTTTTAAAGTCTTCTATATCTATGGTTTGAACTTTGCTACCTAGCGGTTTTAATCTGAATCTATCTTGATCTCTATTTATCATTTTTTAATTCTTATTAATGTTTGAGTAGAAATATAATAATTTAGAGTAATTATTCTTAAAATAGACTAAACTTTTAAACTTACAATGAGGCCTAGAATTAGCTAAACCACATTAAATCTAGATCGAATTACTGGTAATAATCTAAGCAAGAGTCAAGGATCCAGAAATAACAAGAAAATAAATTCTGAAAAAGATAGCTATAGAGAAACTGAGGTAATGAGCTCTCATAGAATTACTGAGCATATCGGAGCTTAAGAATTTTCAATTGATCATTAAAAGTATTAAATGGATAAGTTTTCGATTCGTTCGCATACATTGTCCCACTCGAATCAGAATAATCAATCCTTCCTAAAGAAGTTCAATGATCACAACTCAAAAGTTATAAAAGAAACTTATCAGTAGATAGTAGGTATGATGAAACATTTGGACGACATTCATTGTGTGCTCTTAGAAAATCAACAAAAAGAGTTCATGACCTCTTATAAAGAACATATGAGCAAGGTTCAATGTGAAATCTTGATAATGAAGCACAAATCAACAAAAGAGTATGCCAAAATGAAAATGGATGAAAGAGTTAGATATCTAGAAGATAGAATAACTTTTCTAAGAACCGAAATGGGATCATTAGTCTCAAGAATTGATAATTTGTCCAAGTAAAGTGAGATCTTATAAGAAAAGCTAACAAAGGAATAGGAGACCAAGGAATTTCTAAAGTAATATACTATAGCGACAAAGAAGCAAAATCAAATGCTGATGTAAACTATAGAGAAACTAAAGGATCCTGAGATTCAATATAAGTATAAAAGAAGATTACAGATATTAAACAACTAAAGAGCCTCATTCTTAGTAACTGAAAGAGCTCCTTAAGATAAAACTACCTCACTCCTGAAATCTAAGCAAATTATACCAAGCGGCAATTAAAAATAGGCAAATACTAGTGGCTTATTGAAACTAGCTCATAATTCTCCAAATCAGGCTTCATAAACAAGTTTTGATTTTATCAAATCTACTGCTCCTGACACATTAAGCATTAATGAATCAAAGTTTCGGTTAAACTTAAGGAATTAGCAAAATGCTATAATTGCTAATAATAGTAATAATGAATTAACTCAAACTCTCAGCAACCTTAAAATGAATGATACCATTTAAAATAATAGTCATACTGCTCTTAATAACTTTCGTGCTAGAAGACTGAGTGAGACCTTTGATTGTGAAAATGACAAGGTACTAAAACATTTAGGGGACTAGGACAAGAGAATAGTCATTCTTGAATCCTAATTGTCCTTTGAATAAAAAAGGAACGACAAATTAAAGTAGAAAATGAAGAAGGATCTTCTTAGCTAGAGCTCGACTAATATTGGGAATCTTGAGATGTAGGAGATCTTTTTGGATTGCATTAAGACTATAAAGCAGTGCGCAGTGAAAAACTAGGGCATGAAATATTTAACCATTGAGGATAGACATAGAATAATATTCGATCTATTGAAAGACAATAAAGTATTAGTGAAACTATACGATCTACTGTTCGGATAGAAATAGTAATCAGCTGCGAGTATCAGCATTATTGATAGCCAAGAGTATATTGATTAAGTATCCAATAAAAACATGCAAATATTCAGCCAGTTTAATGAAAGCTCAACTTAAAGATTGAATATGAGTAATATACAGATATCTGATCAAACCAAATCACAGATAGACGAAGATCCTCACAATATGATGGCATTGAGTACTAAAAGTTTTCATCAAAGAACTGCTTCTGCCAAGAACTCTATAAGATCCATGATAAGACCTGTGTAAAATATCAGAAAATAATTCAAAATCAGAGACGGTAAATTACTTGTTAACAATTATGCCAATTGAATGAAATTATTTTTAACATGAATTGCCTAAATTTTCAATGATGGGGTTTTGGGGTTTTGGGGTTTTGGGGTTTTGGGG